TTTGGAACGTAATAATATGGTTAAATGGCTATAAAGTGTTAAATTTCTAATTCAGTTTATTAAAGCGAGCAGTTTCGATAATGAGTGGGACCTCCTTTTTTATGTATTAATTCAAAAATACGATTGTTCGTACTTGTAATGAGTTTTTTCAAAGTTTCTTCGCTAATTTGATTCCACGCTTCAATAACTGCTGTTTTTAGCTCCGAAATGTTCGAAAATTGTCGATTATTTCCATAAATATGCTGCACCATGATACCCCATAGGTTTTCAATTGGATTTTGGTCTGGGGGGCATGTAGAATATTTCAATACATTGACATCAAACGTTTCAAACTGTGGTTTGTCGGATATTATGGATTGGAGCATTATCTTGTTGATAAGTCCATGAAATGTGATTGTTTGCACGAATAAAAGGCAATAAATGATTTTCGAGTATTCTAATATACTCCGCACTATTAATTCATGTAGTTGGAAAAGCTAATCTGAACTTGCCACAGGAGCAGAATGCACCCCACACGATAAGTGTCCCTTCACCGAAATTACGTTTCGTAAAGTATTTCTGTTCTTTACGATGGTCCCTCCAATATGAATCAAATCCATCCGGACCGTCCAAATTGAATTTTTTTTCGTCAGAGAAAATAACCTAAGTTAAATAAGGAATATTGAATATGAAGCTAAAATCTCGATTTACGAATGTCTAAACTTAACTTACATTATTCCAATTTCGGCTCATGTTTCCTCGCGCGTATTCAAGCCTGGCTATTTTGTGACGTTTCAGAACTGTAGGTGCAGACATCATTTTTTGTCTTGTAATGTTTGAATTATGTTTAAGGACACGTTGGACAGTCCAACGAGAAACGCCGAGATCACATTCCTTCGCAATTTGTTTATAGCTTTTTAACGTATTGCTCGCTACTTTAGCAATTTGCCTTTCAGTACGAGGGGATAACTTCTTCTTAGGTCCCCCTTTCTTATTTTTCCCATACTTAGTAGGATCGCGTAAAAAATTCAGTACAACTTTATGCGATCGCCCGAGTTCACGTGCGATTTCACGTATCCCCATTTTTTGCTCTCTGTACGCTGAAATTGCACCTTGCTCTTGTTCATTACGGTAGCTGCCACGTGGCATTGTATCAATTAACTAAGAATTCCCGAGTTTACTAAAAAAATTCCAACAGAAACCCTTGAAGTGCGTTAAAAATGAACCGGTTCTATTGTTTTGCACTGATCGTCAAACGTTTATCGATTAAATCTTGACATATAAGTAGACAACTTTAATGAATTTCACCTAAAATCCATTATTTACAATGCTTTTTCGTACCATATAACTGGTTGTTTCAAATTATTTTCTTACAGGTCGGAAATGTTAAAAATGTTAGTGGTGCTATAGTTATGCTCCGCAGTGTATAAACATTTTTGTTTGCTAGTATCATGATTGACTTACTTGCTTATTTTAACTTCTTGGTGAAAATGCTCAGTACTTGGATGATATGCCTTTGGCAGAAAGATTATCGATGTGGTACATGCATGATGGAGCACCACCTCATTTTGTGCGTAATGTGAGAGACCATTTAAACATGGTGTTCGGTCAAAGGTGAATTGGACGTGGTGGACCAGTTGCATGGCGTCCTCGATACCGCGATTTAAACCCTTTGGATTTCTCTTTATGGGGATATTTAAAAAGCTTAGTGTATTCCTCGCCGATAAATGACTTAGCAGAATTACATAACCGAATCCACCATGCTTGTCAAACAATTCGAGAGAAATGTGGAATTTTCGAGAGAGTTCGCGACTCTGTAAAAGAAGATGCCAAGCGTGTGTAGAAATGGAAGGTGGACACATGGAAAATCTTCTGTAATCATCGAAAATTCAGTAGTAAGTTAATTATGATAATAACAATCAAAAATGTTTATATCTCAGAAACTGTTGACCTTTCGACCTATGTTTACTGAAGCTTTTTTACTCAGTACAATGTATCCTATATACCTTATAAATATTGAATGGTTCTTTTTGAACACCCTGTATATTTACTACTCTTTCGGTAATATTCACAAATTTTATCAACGAGAAATGGTCAAAATTAGTGGCAGTACGGAGCCTCGTACGTAATCGCGCACTAAATGGCAGCATTTTGAAGTTGAAATATTGATTCTTTACTTGCTTTTAACTTTAGCAGGTTAAACAAAAAAATAGAAAGAATAATGATTTCGACTTCGTTGCAGTACAAGCTGTAGCGATACGTGTACTGAAGGTACGCGCCAAATTTGAACGAAATCGGTCAAGTGGATCTTGAGATATCGCGGAAGCCAATTCAGAAAAAGATAGTTTCGAGAGAAACGCATTTAAATGGATCGGATGTTAATTTTCGAAGTTCGGTGATATGCTTTTGCACATTGTATTTCTAAGATTATAAAATCGAATTTTTTTATGGTTTACAGTAGAAGACCCCCTTAACGGGGACAAAATTTAACTCGCCTTTTCTATATCTTACGACTATCGAAGCAAATAGTACCGAGATAGCTCGAAATCGTAATGCAACCACTTAAGCCGCTTAAGTAAAAATCCTTGCGCAGCGTGATACGTCGGTGCTATAGAAAGAAGCAAATTCGCGTACTTTTTCGAGAGGTACCAAAGGAACGATGAATTCCTTTATACAAGCCGTATACGACTGCATACCTTTGCATATCAGTAGACGTGCATATCAAATATCCGCGAATGTTACTGGTTCCATAACGTTTGAAGGAGTTACTTACATAACGTTCGATCCTGTATTTGATTTCGCATCCAATCTCGAAGCTTTCTGGAAACTAACGTTAACGAGACGAAACGTAATTTTTCTTAGAGTCGCGCCAGATCGTACAAGCCCGTACATTCCCAGAACGTCATAAGTTCCCCGTACAAACGGAACCGCGTAAGAATAAACGAAAAGGTTTTAAAATTTCACTGATCTTCGTTAAACTTCGACTCCTCGGAGAAGATAACGCGCTTCTAAAATTCTATCAGCTTATTTAGATAGTATGTTTCTCACAGTTTGGAGACACGCTTTCTTCCCTGACGTCGCGATATCATTATATAGTGTTCGAGCACCTAAGTGGATATTTTTCTTCTTTGACGACGCCCCGACGTTCTCTCTCTGTGAGTTCATATTTTCTGTAATTTTTGTTTTCCCGCACTTTTTGATAATGCATCGAACTGTAGTAAAGTTTAAATTTAATATTTTTCCAATCTTTCTATAACTTTCATCACGTCCATGTAGAAAAATCACTTTATCTTGCATCGACAAAGGTACATATTTCGTTTCTCTTATCCGCCATGACGTTCAAAATTGTTTTACCTTCGGGTTTACCTTTGACGCAGGTCAATATTTTCATATTAATGAACTTCGCCACTAATCTAACATTTTTTTTTAAACAATTTTTAATGCAATAATATAATTACCTACGAATTGGCCATCAATGTTCATCTTAACCGTTGGTACGCTACTACTGTATGTCTGGCAAGTAGCGCCTAAAATATCATTCAATTAACATTACATAAACTAGAATTCCAAAAAAAAAAAACAAAACTAAGTATTTTAATTTCGAGTTTATTTTTTCCAACGTCATCGATTATACAGTGTTCGGTCACTCCTGGAAAAAATTTTAATGGGAGATTCTAGAGGCCAAAATAAGACGAAAATCAAGAATACCAATTTATTGATGGAGGCTTCGTTAAGAAATTATTAATGTTTAAAGTTCCGCCTGTACAGAATTTTTTTTGTCTCGAAAGTTGGTAGGATTTCGAGAGTATGTGTATTCACCAAAAATGATTGTAATTGACCCCCGCAACAGAAAATATTTTTTCCAGAACGATTTGAAACTTTTCAATTTCGACGAAAAATTGGTCCACTTACTTCAATTTTTTTCTCAAAAATGCGTAGGATTTCGAGGGTATGTATAATGACAAAAAATGATGGTAATTGACCCCCCTAGCGAAAAATAATTTTTTTAGCACGATTTGAAATTTTTTAATTTAATTTTTCACTTTTTAACGAAACCTCAATCAAGAAATTGATATTCTTGATTTTTGTGATATTTTGGCCTCTAGAATATCCCATTAAAATTTTTCCCAGGGGTGGCCGAACACTCTGTATACATATCAGTTTATCGTTATGTACGCAAGTGTACAAATACATTTGTGGCCCTTAAATTTATGAATTTTCTGTATTATTTTCTCAGCTTATAATAGACTATTAAGCTCTTCCCGTACTTTAACGAGTCTGACTCGCGATGAAGATTTTGACCCAAACATGAATGTCACGAGCCAGACTCGCGAACAGAAAGTCGGCTCAAACGTAAACATCACGAGCCAGGCTCGCGGACGGCGAATCACGATCGCGATTGAGTTTTAGTTCCTATCGGTACGCCACAAGAGTCGCTCACGATTCTTATAATCTCTGTTACAAAGCAGTTTAGCATCTGGGCCCGGATTTCGTCGAGCTAAGGAAGGTGTTAATGAAAACGGTGTTTGTTAATGTATCGCTCGCCTATGTAAAGATATCGCTAAAAAACAAGGTGTGCAAATATTTCTTCAACCGTATATCACTCATTTTCCGAAGAGCCTCGGGTCTACGCAGACCCAGTGCTCGGGGGTTGATCGTATCCCTCGAAATAATCATCGAAGACAGGCAACACGTTTGATCCTCGCACGGAGTCTTGACCCTGTTTTACACACGCGTTTCGGAATAATCAGCGCGCGTGCGTGCGCGGGTTACACAGTTTCGCGGTGGTACACTTATCAGGGTAACACCCGCGCGTGTCTCTGCACGTACAGGAAACCGCGAGTGTGTTCGCCTGTACCTTCAACGGTTTACCACATGTTGCGCTCCTTGGTGCGCGGAGCGCAAGTCAGCCAGGAGCCCGGGCCATCAGGATAGAGAGAATCTCTCCCCCTCGGCTCAGTCAGTTACGCGAGTATCAGCGAACGTTCCGCGTGTCTCCCGCTTTTCCCATGGCGATGTCGCGATAAGACCCCTCGATTCCTCGAGGAAACCTAACGGTTATACGCGATTGCTTTCTTCAACGTGTCCGGTGCGGTTTTGTGAACACATCGAGGTCGAAGGATACGAAAATAAAGTGTAGTGCTCCGGACGATGCCTAAGATGCCCGGCCACTGAGGTGGTACTTTCTTTTCGATAAGGTCTGTAACCGATGACTTACACCGACTGTGATTTTTGCCGCTCGGGAATACGCGTCGGCGACATTTTCTACGAATTGTTTGCTTCGAACCGGAACCACCGTGCGAATCCATCGTGAAATCGTACGACTCGAAACGAGCTTCTTAGAGTGCTTTGTTCGAATAACTGGTCCTTATTCGCGAGAGACGACGGTAGACGAATTCTCAACGTTTCGGGCAATATTCTGACACAAAAAGTATCGCACGGATAATAGTTACCGAGGCCGGAGTAATTTTCTTCTAAAATTTTCGACCAAAAGTTGTCGTTCGTCGAGCGTTATTTTCTGTGAATAAGGACATAATGCGTGGTGTATCCTGTAGTATATCCTCTCCTCACACCTGTTACGTTACGTCTCGCAGAAGCTGATACGTTGGAATCGTCATTGTAAATCGAAACGAGACAACGAGTTCGCGAAAGCTTTACGAACGCGTTGCAACTGCTATTACGCTGGCTTTTTTCGAATTTGTGGTCAGAAACGGACAACGAATAAAACAAATTATTACTATAACGAGTTCCCCATAAAAGCCAGCGAGTTAATTATGTTATCCGATGCACTGTTTGAAACGAATGTTAAAAAAGAGGAAAACTCTGAACATTTCAGAAACAGACTCGAATATATAATTGTTTTCTCTCGTGTTCGTCGCGCACACAGCGTTTCGTTGTCATGTACGTGCACGTATAATTCCGTTTTTTAAATACGAAACATTTCATCGTTATAAACGACAATATTACCTATTTATAAACCGATGACATATTATTAACGTTTAACCTCGTTCTATATTTTCTGTTCCGGTCGAAACCCGTTGGATACTATTTTTTGTTTCTAAAAATAGTTAAACTTTTATTGGTTCTGTAACGAATTTCGACTCGGGATATGTATTAATTCTACCTCGAAACGGTGTCTTATTCGCAAAATGAAAAATATATTAGAATATTATAAATATTATGGTTTGTTATACGAATGTACATTGTAACGCACAATAACAATGTGTATCCACGGACACCCAGAATGAAAGAAAGGTGTAACTATAGTTGGATTAATTCCAGAAATCAAGAATATCATTGAACAACGCGAGTAACAATAGAACTGTCCAATAATGAAAAGCTATGAATATCGCCGGTTTCCAGGCTTCCGAACGACAACTTCTGTTCGCGTAATCGCGTTTCTCTTTCTGGTCGAAAAAATTTTGCAAGACGCACGAAACGTCGAAAAGAGAGAGAAAGGAAAAAGAAAAAACAGAAATACACTCGAATCGAAGTCTTCGGTTGTTTTACGAGCATGTTAAATTAAAATTCTAGGCTAAAAATAGGACTATCCGACTTTGCTTAGCCTGCAATCATCTATCACCGCAACTACTGTGCTGCACGCAATCCTTTATTTTCATTGGACCACTGACCTACCTATCGAACACTCGGACCTTTTTCTGTTGCATAAATTTCCAGATTCCAAAGCAGCGCTTTGCTGCCGAATAACGAACGCCTCAGAACTTTTCTGTTACGCCGACGCGCCCTTATGTAAGGAACTCCGCGCGAGATGCATGATTAATGCAAGGATTTTGCATGCATTCAATTTGAATGAAATTTTCCTCGTATTTTACAGATTTCAGCGCCTGACAGCGCGGCGGGGCGGCCCCAATGCCGGGCAGGAAGGGCCTCCTCGCCCCACAAAACACTTTCTTAGATACCATCGCCACTCGTTTCGATGGAACCCGTGAGTATATAAAAGATTAATCACTTAACTAATTATTTTCTCTTTATTACGTTCAGCCACGTTTTCGCGCACGCGACCTGTAATCCGAACTCACACGGCACCTTTGACCGTTCAGTGGGCTCTCAATCTCAACTGAATCATTTTACTTAACGGTGACGTGCACCAAATTGTTAAATGGAAATCAACTTTCGTTTAAAGCATTTTAAAAATAATTAACTAACGGAGGATTACATAAGTTCTCAAATACTTAGAGTGATATATATTAAGCAATTATCAGTTAATCTCCTTGTAATTATTCACAGCCTGTCCCATACTTCGTACCATTCAATTTTACATTTCTGTTTATCTTTGTTATGTAACTATTCTTCTGTAGTTTAATCTCTTTCTGTGTTAATGAGTATTTAATCCCGTGAATAAACAGATAAATAAATAAATAAACTTATGGAGAGCCGCAGCGGCCCCAATAATCCAATTAAGGGGCCATTTTACCTTGCAGGCACGAAAAATACATGTTTCTTTTTGCGGGCTATTAAAGACCTATTAATTCCGAGTTTTGTAGATACATTTACTATATATTTAGCTATATTTACGAATTTTTGCAACGCGTAATATCTATTGATTAGGCTGTTTTTGTTGATCAACAAACAACAGTTTTTACGAACGGCTCGCGACTGCGTATGTGATATCTTGCGAACAAGTTATCCGAAATCCAAAAACCAAAGATATTCTTAAAAAAGATAAGTTTGGTTATAACAAGAACTAAGATCTTTCAAAAAAAAACGAAAAATGGCAAAATGGCAGCTATTGTACGAAAAGGTACTGAATATTTTCATATATTCGGTTATTTTTTTGTTAATAAATGAAAAAGTATTGCATATATCGCAATTATCCTAATTCATATTATAGGGAGACCAGTTCTAAAGATACTATATAAATTTCATGTTGATATCTTGAATAGTTTTTTTGTTATCAGCCTTAAAGTTTCACGTTATACTTGCGTGTGGTACATTACAGTAGGCTATAGCTTCGTCAGTTTTTAGAATTTCAATTTAATATTTGGTAGATATATTTTTGAGACTACATGTTAAAAGAAAACGCAAAAAAAAGTTCGCTTTTTAAATCCCACAAAGTAGAAAGGCCCCTTAAGGATTAAATATGGAATACCGTTGGTAAAAAGTACTAAGCATTTTCGAAGGATTATTAATATTTAAATATTGCAATATTAGAATCGCCCGTCGCTGAAATCGTTCGAACGATTGTAAAGCGGGTGGATGAACGTTTCGAAAAATGCAAATGTTCGACCGTTGTCGAAAACGCGCACGATTAAAGTATTGTATTAAATAATGAGTACGCGCACAAACGGCGAGATACGGCTGAAATTGCTGTTATTAAAATCTAACCCGGGTAAGCTCTTTTTAAGCGCATCGCTGCGTTTCGCGTTACCCTGGGCACACATGGAAACGCGGCTGGAAAAGAGGGTCGTAAGCGCGGTTTAATAGCCGATTAATTTGTTTCATGCATTCTTCGAACCGTAAGCAATTAATTCCCATTAAGGTTTCAAAAGTGAACTGATCGCGGATAAAGTTCCCTGTCCGGTCGAGTCGCGTCGGGCGTAAATAAAACCGAGCCATAACCGACAAAATCCCGTTCGCCTCGAAGCTATCCCATTAAACTTTTCAAGAGTGCAAAGGAACAAATCGTCCTATCACCGTACTTCGATTAGCCTCGATTCGAATATTCGTCGGCGATCCACGTCCGCGCGTTTCGTCGGCTTAGAATTAAGTGATTTGTGGTTGTAAAACACGCGGTACGTTATCGATCGTGTTTCATTGCGCGTTTGCTAGCGACAAATTTGAAATTTCGTAAATTTAACGCGCGTTCGGCTTCCCCATTAGCGCCTCCGCAATATCTAATACGATTTGGCGGGTCGCACGTGTCGATGTTTACCAATCGCTCGATCAAGCTACAAATTAATATCGGTGCGTCTCTCAAATACTTGCCACCGCCCGTTATATGTTGCGGCGTTAATTCGTGTACCGATATTACGGCACGTAACCGTTAACAACGCGGGAAACCGAATTGTCTCTGTACCGATCAAGACCAGGTGAATTTACGTCGATACGATTATATCGGGTGACTACGCGTCGCGTAAACGCTATTTCGCGACACGCTTGGAGAATACGACGAAACGAGTTCATCTTTTCGCTAATAATAACGCCCAAGCTACGCTTCCCTCGGGACACCAACTCGGTTATCTTCAACCTTTCCCTTTACGCCGGAGACGTAGTTTCGGGACTAACGGCGAGAGCGAAGGAAAAAAAAAAAGTAATCTAAACTGTCGCCAACGCTTTAATGCTATCCCATTTTTTTCTTCTTCTTTTTTTTTCGTTTCGCGATAAAAGTGGTTACGGGCAAAGGAAAATGGCGAGAGCGCGAAGAACCGCATACGAACGCGTGGCATTGTCCGGGAACGCGAACGTTTAACGAACCGGGACTACCCGCGTATTGGATTCAACCCGCGTTCTCCTGTTTAACCAACAACGCCCACCCGGTATATGTATATTCTTTTCGACCGCGTGTTCGCTTACAAGGGGAGATTCCGGCAGTGGAAATCGCTTTTGAAACGGTAGTAGGTAGAAATTATGGTACATACCTAGTATCAGAAAACCTTTAAGGTTTTCTTCAAAATGAGCCTTCATTTCCGAGATACTTTGATTTTAAGAAAGCTGAAAATACTAAATGCGTGCTATAACTTGTACTTACAATTAGTACCATTTCAAAAGCGATTTCCACTGCCGGAAGGTCCCCTTGTTAGATGCGTCGTTTCAGGTACGACTCGATCGACGGGCAGAAACTTAAAGGTTCCAGCGATATCAATATAAACTTGGGGTCTACAAATCGAGGAAAATTAATTACGGGAAAGAGGCTACAGATCGTCGCGGTGGTGGTCGTAAGAGAGTTGCAGAAAAGTTACGTCCTTGGTAAATAATGGAATCACATTTTCGCCCCTCCTTTCGAGACGATGACAAAATTGCATTCCTCTCGCTACCTAACTATAATCTCCGGCAGTACATTTCGATTTAGTGGCGGAATTTTAAATGAGGATATTTACTCGTAACGAGTTAATTTATACATTAAGATAAGATGAATTTCGTCTCCCCGGCACCTGTCTCGCGCAACGCGAGAAATGCTTCGTTTCGTGTGTAGCGACAGTTGCGTAACGTTGGATTATCATCTGCGTAAGAATTAATCCCGTAGCGACACCTGGCTCGCGGTATTAAGTCGATTAATGTACTCCTTAATTCTGATACACACGTAGAGACGGGAATATTTAATTTTTGTTCGTACGCTTTGGCCCTTTTACGTCGAGCTCGGGGCTAAGGAAATATACCAGCAATTACCGATGCACACCTTGTACGGTCTCCCGTTAAACCGTTCGCGTTATCGAAATACACGTTGAAACTCGATTTGCTTTATCGCATGCAAAACCGTGTTTGTATTAGTTCAAGTAACTCGGAGTGGTGATCGAGTACTTGCTTGTTCAACACACTTTCGAGGCTATCCTGTCGTTATAGTAGGACGTCTCGTAGCTCCTAGAGGATACCACCACCCTAGAATTATGCGATTACGCTCAATCTTGGCGTTCCATCAAATACTTCAGTAGTTTCCCTTCAAACTCCATCGCTCTCGAGAAAACACAAATATCGTATACGTACATCCTTACCTCATAAAGTAATCAAAAGGCAGGATCGTTAACGTCACCGACAACGGTGCTTGCATATACAACGCGACTCGACAGGATTCCGCGTAACAAGAAAACAGCGCAATTACTCGAATGCATAATTAACTCTTAGCCCCGAGTCAATTTTTCACGCCTGGTATCGATTTACCTGCTTCCATTACGCGAAACGTCGGTGAAATTGTGCACCTGTGTTGGATGCGGGTTCGCGACCTTTCCATTGTGAACGCTCCGATTTTTTTTTGGTAGGAGAAAAGGAAAATAATTGCTCGTTAACGACGCCCGAAGTACCTATCCGAAGATATTTTTGGCACTCTCTTTCTCCGAGCGTGTTTGGCGCATCGCCAACTGGGCTAAAGGATGGTTGACGACTGTTCAAACACTCGTTTGTCTTTGCTGACCAAGACTCATGGAGGACCAATTGGAATATTCGTTTTAGCAGAGTGTACACGTCTATCTGCGGTTTTTTTATCGATTTCGAAACGCGCGCGCCAGAAGTTCGTTTCACGGAATAGGAACCGCGATAAGTATTCATACAGCTTTTTTCACCGACTATAGTTTTCTATTTTCCCAAGAATAACAAATTCGGAGGTCTGTATCAAGACACGAACTATGTACAGGAAGGATTATTTTCTGGTCAAATAATCGATTTCTGTACCATTTCTTTATTATATTATTTTACTTTATTGCAGTTTTTATTACACGTTCGGGTAGTTATAATATTTTTTTTACGAAAGTCGATCTCACATTTTAGAGTCCACTCTATATCGTCACTCTGCGCGTAATTCATGGTCGATCGATGTTCAAATTCCGAGATCGAGTTCAATTTCGAATATTTTCCGCTCGTTCGAGTTTCGCGGAACTTCACGGCGTCATTTAAACTTTATGGCGCGTATAGGAATCTTTGATTCTCGTTTGGAAATTCAATTTCGATTTCTCACGCTGGATTTTCTCGACTGTAATAGACGGGACTCGAAAGGTCGGAGTTTCGAGAACGCGAACGCGTTGAAAGACTTCGCTTAATTTTACCACGACAGTGACCTACGGATCGGTTATGAATTTTTAAAAAGTCGTCGCATCGAACGGGAACGTACTTGTTAAGGATTCTAAAGGAACCTTAACATCGCGAGGTTTATGATACGGACGTGACTTCTCCGCTATTTTTGAGGATTAGGCCTTCAAGACATTTTTACTTGATAAATTAGGATACGGCCATTGAGGAACCTCCAAACTCCACACGGGACTTGGAATCCTTGGAGCT